TTCTTCAACTTCCCCGTCAAAGGTAAAGGGATCCTATAAATCAAAACATCATGTTAGTGTCCCAAATTGTCTTGATACACAGTCTTTATAATCATTCTATGAAATCCATACCATTTCATTTTGGCCGTTTCCAAATCTCTGCCTCATCTCCACCAACTGGTCCTTTAGCTTCGAATTTTAGATTTTAGTCTCTCAGTCTCCGTCAAAAAGAGTTAATTTGGCAAAACATGTTGTTGTTGTTGTTGATGTTGTTTTTTAAAGAAAGTTCCAATCATTATGGAAAATAGGTATTTGTAATTTTTAACATATGAGTATTGATGAAATAATGAAATACTGTTTTGAAAATGATTTTGAAATGACTTTATCAGGCCTCAAACATTCCTTTTTTTACCTACTATATAATGTCAATTATTGCTAAATATAGAAACTGGGTTGTAACTTAAAATAGAAGTACGTGACACAATTTTAAGATTTATTTTCATATATTGTTACAACCAAGATCTTTATTAATATATCACAAAATGAAAAGCTCTATACACCATTCTGGACGATTTTTCAGATTTTGCATGCTTTTCTCGGAGACAGTCTGTTAAATGCATAAGAGCTCGTTTTACCTTCCCTTGTTCAAGTTTGTTCTAAGCTTGAACCTGATACACCCTATATTTTATTAAACATATTTTTTTTCTAGATAAAAGCAAATAAAATCGCCCCTGACATCTTTCATAGTTTCTAATCTTTGTATTGTGTTCCATTAGAACATATTTTTTTGCACTCTATTGACATGATTATAGATTTACCTAGTGATCAGAATCATAACGGAAAAAAAATCGACCAAGCAATATAGAGACTGGGAAGAATGCAACGCGAGAAGACGGGAAGCAGGAAATTAACATTTTATTTAGATTCAATCATTACAACAACAACAGCCAAAAAAAAGAGAAATACTTACCAGCAGATTTAAAACAAAAGGGAATAATTCAATGAATGCAACAATAGAAAACTAAAAGCAGGGACGTAAAATAGAGATAAACTGCTTTAAAACAAGGATGTCAACAGTCTTGTTTAATGTCAGCATTTGGCCAATCCTGCACAATGACCTATCATTAAGCCAAAAGCTGACTGACGTTTTTCATAAACGTTGTTAGCTATAGCTATATAGGCCTTTCTCTTTTCTTTTTAAATTTTCTGTATTGTCCAAGGATGTTGCCGTTTACCCGATCATAGCAAGGACACGTTGGATGTCCCATATCTGATATTTTTTGGTATTTTTAATTTGTCGACAATAAATAAAACTCTGTATAGTTAAAAATATTTTGTAGTTGTTGGAGGAAAAAATATAAACAAGAGACCGTAGTACCATTCTCGACATTGCGAAGATTCCTTGTATGAACCTCAACGTAACTTTATCTTACAGATAAAAACTGCCCTCTGGTATACAGCTCTGGCAGGAGCAAACACAGACCTCCAAAACATCAGAGATGGGATCATGTGCCATGGTGGAGTGAGCATCCCCTGCCAATCGGTCAGAACCGTCCGGTGCTCCTTGTCATGAGCGGGAAATAACTGAAAAACCCCTCGTCAATTCAGTGTATAAATAATGGACTAAAAATTGGTATGAAAAACGCCAGTCTGCATTTGACTCAATGATAAATTGTATTTGTGATAAGGTAATTGTACATCGACCATTTAACTTACGAAATGAGGATTTTAAGCGAGAATGCCGATACTCTTGTTTAATCAATTTTGTTTTTCAATAATTTACTTGCGAATCGAATCAAATGAGATACATAAACTCCGTATACAGGTGATGAAGTAAGATTGCTGCATATTAAGTAAGGATAGTTGACGATCGAAAAGTTTAAGTCATCACACCATGTGAATTCCAACAGATTGTTAAATGACCTGGTCTCCAAAAAAAAAAAAAAAACATAGATCAATTAAAAACTAAAGCATCTTTTTTATGTCGACTTTAAAATAAAGTTGTTTGGGATATCAAAAAGCCTTTAATTTTTCAGTAAGTATCCACATCTGATTTTGCACCACTTCTAGAATATATTGTTTCACAATACTCTTGAAGTTTCTCATTCACTACTGTTAATCTCTTAGTGAGGAGTAAAGAAAGAGGTTTGGTTGAACATTTACTGGAACCCATTATGTATCTTTATTTAGTGAACAATTGCTTATAGAAATTATTTTAAATCAGTTATAGTACAATATCAACATCATGAGCAGTACATAATAGACATGTCTTAAAACAAAAGCAGACCATCTCGACACTTTGTAACCAATGACATTTTTGAATAATTCTTTTTTGTAATTTCAGAATCACATATTAAATCTATAGTCGACGATCCACTTTGAAAGCACATATAAGTCTTAAGACAAAAAAGGAGAAATCGACTGCATCGGTTGCGGTGTGAAATAAGTGTTCGAAGTCGGACTTTGATGACTCAATTTCATCCTCCTTTTATTTTCCTCTCTTAAGTGGACTCTATCGTAGTGATCATTTGCATTTATCTCCCTTGAGTCCGAACGGGTATTAATATTGTTCCAACTCTAAGCTTTAGGTGAATGGCATGTCCGTATTTCGATCCACCTTGAAAGCACATCTTGGTCTGCAGAGAAAAAACCCCAGAGAAATCTACTGCATCGGTTGCAGTTTGAAGTAAGTGTTCGAATCCAGACTCCGATGATTCAGTTTCATCCTCCTTCTCTTTTTGCGTGGACCCTGAGGTCCACGCAGTAAATATATAAGCGAGGTTAAACCGGATGCCCTGGGCAAACGACAGGTTACGCATGCGCGAGAATGCTAGAGAGTTCGCTTTTTAGATAACTTGCCCGTAGAATAATTCGCCCTATTCGAATTAAAATATGCCATTCACTGGCAAATCGCGCTTTTAAATCTGCATATCGCATTTACATATTATTTGCCAGATCCAATTTTCTCTCTTTTACATATACTTCTAAATACAAAGTAAAGATTGATTCTATGGTACAAGCATTTTAAGAAGTTACAGTATATAGTAGATACAATGTCATGAAACTTAACAACTTGAATGAAAAACGTACTTAACGAATAGAGATAGCTTTTAAAAGATAGAGCAAGTTTTTACCGGCAATAGTTTTGTGCATCAATGTTCGCAAAATAATTCAATATTTCAACAATCTAAATATCAGTTGATAAAGGTCTGTAGCAAAGGCTTTTAATGTGTGTGTGGGGGGGGGGGGGGGGGGGGGGGGGGGGCTCCGACAAAAAAAATCTGCGTACTACAGTGCTGTGCTACTCGTGAACCATCAAAATTTCTAGTTTTTCCATGATAAATTTATTCCGTATAAATCCAGAACAGATGTCAAGTCCAAGCCAGTATGAGTTACACGGATCGCGATTATTTAAACTGACAAAACTAAAGGTCGCTAATCGGTGATAAAATTTCACAATATTGCTTTGAGATCATAATCAGTTATAAGCAGGCAGATCATTGTAAAAAAAGTGAATAAACCTACATGAATATTCCCTACACCTACAAATTTTCTTAAATGAATTTCAGTTTTCAAAAAAACATGCATATGGTCCACGTATTGCAGTCCTTTTTTAAAGGACATGTACAGCAACTTGTCGTATCTTAAGTGGACTCTATCGTAATAATGGTTCTTGCACTTATATCCCTTGAGTCCGAACGCGTATTAATATTGTTTCAAATTCTCTCTGATACAGGTGAATGATATTTTCGTATTTGTTTGTTGTGTAGAGCTGCTATTCTCCCTCCTCTCTGTGTATTTTTGTGATGGAAGTCTGCAACTTAAAGGACATATATGTATTTATAAAGTTGCTGAAAGTTTAAGGGATCCAATATTCTACTTGTTTTAGACGACTCTCTTTCAACGGGAAACCAGATGTATTAGTATTTTCATGACACTTTATGACAAATATTCCAAGAAATGCATTTTAATCTTAATTTACTGCAGAGGAGGGCAAACGTTTTAAGTTTTAGAGCAGGATGCATCAACTTCTGTACTCTGGCGTATCTAGGAGTATGTCAGAGAAACTTACCACTTCAACAAAAGCACTGAAAAACATAAGACGTGGAGAATAATCTGAGATCCGCCCAAGATTAACACAAGTTTAGAAGAAATTCTCAGCTCTTGTGATGTATCAGGAAAATCCAGACCAGTTCTGGTATATTTCCTAGTATCTGCAGTGTAAACAATCAAATGTGTTTAATAGAATATTTTTCCGAAAAATAACAATTTCTTGTTTTAAGGAGAGTGATACATAGTCACCCAAATCGATCGTCCAAAGTGCAAACCATGTTCGGCATCGCCCCGAAATTATCTGCCGATGACAGGGCAGCTTCCTCCGGAGCAGGCCACGAACTAGTAAAATATAATTACCTACCTTTATTGCTAGTAATAAGCAGCCCATGTCCCTCTGTCATTCTGTGTAGGCTTGAATATCTTCCTCCAAGGCCAAGGTACATGTATCAGTAAGGAGCAGCTCGGTGTCGGATAGATCTGCCATGGTTTTAACGTGGCAGACGGCGGCTAGATGTCTTCTACCCCCTCTGCATGCCTTTCTGCTGCCGGGCTCCCTTGGTCTGATTGCCTGTACTGGTACAATTGAGGGCCGCTTGGGATTTCTTGGCTCTTATGGGTGGCATGATTTTGCTTATTTGATAAACTGATAAACCGTTCTCAGGAGCTTTACGTACTTAAACAAATATCACAAGCGTCGAGCGTTGGGAAAGCTATCGAGCAAGAGGAGGAAAACACCAAGTTTGCCCCTTTTTATACTCGCGACAATCGGGGGAAAGTGTCAAATGTCCAACCCCCTGAACAGTTTTTCGGAAATCAATTACATGTAAATGCTTTTAATTAGCGATTGCTTTGAATGACCTTATTTGCTTATTTCCCCCCCCCCCCCAAAAAAAAAAATTCAACAGGCTTTTTATTTCTTATTTCCGTTGTATATGAATTTAATTTTTTGGTGTGTCAATATTTAGCATTTATTTTTTTCTTTTATAGATAATAAATATCAAATTACTAAGGTAAGTAGTACTTATGTTAATGTTTTAATTTTAACTTCCTTCGACCGGAATTCTAATTCAACAAAGTTTTTAACAACTATCTAAAAACAAACAGAATAGGACAGTTGAACTTTGTCTTTTAAAGGAAGACTTTTTGTTACATAATAAACATCTTACACATGGTATGGAGACATCCAACATATGGATTACATTCTTCCTCCTCCGTACAGTTACATTCAGAATCACACTGCACACCATAATAATTTACTGGACACGGGGTTACGCAGTTTTCTCCAATAAAACCAACACACTCTACAAAAAATATAAATTACATCTTCCCTTTTTTGACTCATATTAGCACATTTTTATTTCATCTTTGTCTTTAATATCAAATATGGTAACACTGTATGTTGTTTAGAATTTTTATATAGAATTGCATGCTACATAGATAGTGAGTGGGTGCTGCCTAAATTATGATTGCTGCTCGATGAAAATGAATATTTTTTGTGTTTTTATCAGCATAGAACATGTTAAATCATCCCCAACTCCATAAAGTTCTTTCACTTAATAATAAAATCCCCAAGTTCCTTACCTGTACAGTTTCCGTTTATTATTCTGTTTCCAGAACAACATTTCTCTGGGTTGCTGAATAAAAAAATGTCAGCTATGGATCAATTATTAGTTCAATTTTTTTTAACGTAAGCTTATAAGTATACGTTCAATCACTTACTCGGATGTTGAACAAATAGAACTGTCGTTCCGTTTTCCATATGAAACCTCGAGAAAAAGAATAAGACAAATAAACCTTGTTTGTTCCATTAGTGCCACTTTCAGGGTGTAATAACCAGTTTCCTTGTATGTATCACTTATATAATTTTAGTACACTCTATCAAATTAAAAAAATATTTTACAGATTACATCCGTTCTTCTTCCAGTTTAGACAAATAGCTTGACATTTACTTTAAGATTGATGCAGAATATTCCCCCAATGAGTGTTTTTCTAATTTTTTTTTTAGAAAAAGCGAACATGGCCTTTTTTCCCTGTTGAAACATATATCAATAATAAAACATAGACTTAAAACTTGGAAGTGTTCATTGTACATGTAGCAGGACGTGAAATTTTCTTTAAATTTACCCCAATTTTTTTTTCCAAAACCATAAGTATGTTTTACACTTCCCCAATCAAATTACTAGTACATGTATATATTGACGAACCTCTTATAGTATACTTGATTATTTAAAGGACAATTGTTATAACACAGCTCAAGTGCATGAAAGCAGTATTTCTCAAATTTTAACAGGCATTGTGTTAGTTTAATTCTGTAATTTTCAACTTATACCAATAATGTTTCCTCGAATATCAGTTTCTAAAACTCACCTCGTATAACTCACCTTGTGGGAGCGCGAAATAATTACATTTGGGGTGCGGATTTTGAAGCGGACTTTGAAGGATAAGTTGACCTGGTTAGTTTTCCTGCAGTGATTGAGATGAAATTAATCCCATATTAACTTACACAGTGATATCCCAGCTTACTATTACTCGTATCCCAGCTCGAGATTCGTCCGAGAAAAGCAATACTTTCTCCCGACTTACGGGGACGTACTTTAACAAATAAAGCAGTTAGAGAACTTTCTCCCTCATATCAAAACTTGAACAGAGCAAATATACTTAAAGGTACTTGGACACAGATTTGAAGTTATTATATTTTCTATAATATTACAAATTATATAGTTAAATAGCATTTCTCACAAAATTGATTAAAAATCTTATTTCATATAAAAGATATTAAAATTCAAAATATTTTTGGTGATCTCGTTTTGTATAAATGAAAAAATTTAATACTATAATCCAGAAAATTCAGAGTAGACATGTTTGAAAGCAAAACAAACGCACAATATATTGTCAGTCCGTGCAGTTGTGGTAATATAATATAAGAAGACTGTGACGATTGAACGCACCCGGTGAATTGTAAAATAAACAATAACAGAACTCGTGCGCTGTTTACAAAAACTGTGTGTGTGACAGACCCATGTTTTTATATATCATGCACATGTGCATAGCAATGCATATTGCATGTGCATTTACTCATTAATTTAATTATGTATGTTTTTCCTTGCAGTACACTTCTACAGCTGAATTATATAATTATTCATTTAACCTGTAGTTAAGTGTATTGATTTTAAAATGATTATTTTCCAGAGAGGTCCAGAGGTAGCCTTTGGGTTCTAATTATATTCTGGCCATGGTCATTTTGTATCTTTTATTTTCATTGGTTTTTTAATATTGTCTCATGTTTTTCTATTGGTTTTTGTGTTTCTCTCCAAGTTTTCTTTATGTTTTTGGTTAATTCTTGCTTGCTCTTGGAAGATGATGGAAGTATAGTTTAGCCATTGAGTTTACATATTTTACATATCAGAGATTTGACATAGAGACCAACACTTCCTCTTGCAATGGCAAGTAATTCTTTCAGAGCAATAAGTAATAAGATTCTAATTCTGTGAAATCTGTAATATTTGCATTTAATTCTTTAAATCAATTTTTCTGAAGTAAATGTATAGTGAGAGTGAGACCTTAAATATAGAGTTATGTGTTAATAGTAAATACACTGCTTTCTCACTTTTTCATATTCTTAAAGTAAACTTTATTTTATGATTGTCACAGATGTTATATTTCAGTTTACTCTTGTATTTGGCGCGCATTGATATCTACAAGGTTATCTATTGTTGATTTGTAGATATTGAGTAATTATCCCTTTGTTGTCTTGTGTATGTAGCTTATATGCTGTTGTAATTTGCCTCCTTTTAGAAATTGTTCATACGTAGAGCATGCTCCTGCGTATCGAATCAAAGGAGATACATATACTCCGTATACAATTGCTGCATAAGTAAGGATAGTTGACGATCGAAAAATTGAAGTCATCACACCATGGGAAAAGAAATAGATTGTTGGAAGACCTGGTTTCCAAAAAACATAGCTATTGTCAATAAGAAACTCAAGCATCTTTTTGATGTCGACTTTGAAAATAAGCTGTTTGGGATACCAAAAAGCCTTTAATTTATCAGTCAGTATCTACATCCGATTTTCACTACTTCTTGAATATATTGTTGCACAGTACTCTTAAAGTTTCTCCTTCACTTCTGTTAATATCTTAGATAGGAGTAAAGAAAGAGGTTTGGAAAAACATTTACTGGAACCCTCTATGTACAGTATCTTTACTTATTGAACAATTGTTTAGAGAAATTGTTTTAAATCAAAATAATACAATATCAACATCATGAGCACATTACATAATAGACATGTCTAAAAACAAAAGCAGACTATCCTCGACACTTTCGCGCGCGCGCGCGCGCGCGCGCGCGCGCGCGCGCGCGCGCGCGCGCGCGCGCGCGCGCGCGCGCGCGCGCGCGCGCGCGCGCGCGCGCGCGCGCGCGCGCGCGCGCGCGCGCGCGCGCGCGCGCGCGCGCGCGCGCGCGCGCGCGCGCGCGCGCGCGCCCGCCGCGGCCGTAACCAATGACTTTTTGGAATAATTCTTTTTTTTTGTAATTTCGGAATCACATATTAAATCTATAGTCGACGATCCACCTTGAAAGCATATCTTGGTCTGTACACAACAACCCCCCATCTCCCACCCCCCCCCCTCCAAAAAAAGAGAAATCTACCGCATCGGTTGCAGTGTTAGCTTTAGGTGAATGGTTTGTCTGTATTTCTGTTTGTTGTGTAGTGCTGCTATTGTCCCTCCTCTCTGTGTATTTTGTGATGAAAGTCTGCAACGTAATAGGAATGGCAAGTTCAATTGTTTTATTATATTGTTTTCAAGTGAAATATAAAGATAACAATTAAATTAATTTGTGTATCCTCAGCCATTACCAGGGGTATTCATATGGGAAATTTATAGTTCCAGTACAATGCATATCACATTAAATCATTTTTTAAAGTTTCAATATTCTTTAATATTTTTTTCATTTCATATTTTAAATTTCATTTGATACTTAGTACATTTTTATCAGATATTGTATTTACATAATTCATAAAAATTCTGCTACATGTAATTGTAATAATCTACGAGCAAATTCAAAATATTACAAGGTCATCAAGTTATAGCCAAAATGAATATATTAGTGTAAACAGAACCTTTTAAAGAATATTCACGTATTTATGAAGCTACTGAAAGATTAAAGGATCCAGTATTCTACTTGTTTTTGTCCACGCTCTTTCAATGAAAAACCAGATGTATTAGTATTTTCATAACACGTTATGACAAATATTCGAAGAAATGCATTTTAATCTTATGTATTTACTGCAAAGGAGGGTAAAATTTTAAGTTTTAGAGCAGGATGCAACACCTTCTGTACTCTGGCGTATCTAGAAATATATCAGGGGAACCATTTCAACAAAAGCACTGAAAACAGTAGACGATCAAGATCTGGGATCCGCCCAAGATTAAGACAAGAGTCAGAAGAAGTGAAACGCTCTCGTGATGTATCAGGAACTTCCAAATCAGTCTAGGTATCATTCCTAGTATCTGCTTTGTGAACAATCGAATGTGTTTAATAGAATATTTTTCCAAAAAATAACAAAACGTGTTTTTTGGATTATAAAGGCTGCAGCTTTAATAATTGTTTCGATGGCAAATGTCGGACAAGCATTTAACCATCACTGGGTGCCACGCACCTTAACTAGTAACGGGCGTTATGGCACCTTGTCTTCTAGGGTAATCCATAGCAAGGTGTAACAACGTGTATAAATCGACTCCTAGGGTATACCTTAGCGAGTCAGCTGGGATATGTAATTGCTTCCTAGAGGATTTTTTTTAGCAAAGCTACTACCTGTTATACCGATCAGGTACATGTAAGCCCACTATATAGAATAGGGCAAAAATAACCACGCGTTATACTGAATGGGGTACGAGATTACTGTTAGACAAAACGGATCTCTTACACAAGCTCCTAGTGCACTCCATAGCAAGCTTGTATTGGCTCCTAGGGTAGCCTTAGTGAGCCACTACATGCTCTACAAATCACGTTAAATAAATAATCAAACATAAATAATGATATAATGATTACGAATTTATTTGCTTTTCTTACATTTCCGCCACGTAGAGATGTCTATACATACATGCCACAAATCAAATAAAAAGGAGATAAAAGCTTACATGGCTGGTTGAATTTTTTTTTAATAAATGCATTTCCCACATAAGACATATGGACTCCGTAAGCACTGTAAAGACCCCCCTCCGAAAATTCTTTATCAGGGTGATTAATGACTTTGCCGTTTACTGGTTGCACGACAGTATTTAATTCTGCTATATATTCTTACCAAAAATGCGTAGGTTTGCGTAGATGTAATTTATTTAAAACACACTTATGAAAAGTTTCCTTATCAGATCTTGTAAAACAATTATTTTTTAAAGACTTTAGTACTACAAATACATAACCATCCAGCAAGACACGCAAGTTTGTTTCGGACGAAGTCAAGTAGGTACTTTAAAATCTAGTCTAGGGCCTTATCACTTCCACTCAAGTACAGCACGCCCTAAATTTTAGCATATCTGGTCAAAACAGGAAGTTTATACGTTGTTTTTCATCTCAGTAAAAAATTCCGCTCCAGTCTCGCATCAAAATGTGGGAATCGGTAGGGGAGATCCAGGAATTATTTTGCGTCAGCCATAATTTGATTTGAACCTCATCAAGTGAAATACTGTTACGACACCTGATGCGACCGTCCTACGTACAGCTCTATTAACTCTTTTTCGCTTCCGTTCAAGGGGTGTTGCTACCCCTGCGAAATGATCAAGAATAATTCTTGAACTTTGAAGAAATGTTAATGAATTATATTCTTGAATCAGCTGATGAATTGTTTAAGAAGATCCCATGAAGTTAAAATTGGACACTCATGATTTCATGGATTTTATTCATGAAAACCAAGTTCAAGAATATTCAAGAATTATTTGTTGTTCATGAACAAAGTTAGACTTTTTAATTGCCTGCAAAATGATCAAGAATAATTCTAGAACTTTCAAGAAAACTTCATTAATTATATTCTTGAACTTTCAAGAAAACTTCATGAATGATTCAATGCATTTTCACGAACTAATCATGAATAATTTATAAAAGTTATTTAGGAATGTTCATGAACTATTCATGAATGTTCTTGCTTTTTGTAAACAAAAATGTAATACATTTTGCAAAATGAAAAACTGTAAAAGAAAATATTTTAATAGCAGTTTGAAAGATTTCACAGTATTTTCTTTTTCCAATCATGGTAACAAAATCTTTGTTCAAGTTAACAACTCTGATAAGTGATATCGATAATAAATAAATTATGTAGTTCATTCCTAGTAAATTTATGAAAAATTTGAATTCAAACGCGACTCTGCAGAATCCTTAACCTTACTTGGTAAAGAGAAGTGTGGGTTCCTTATTCGGCGTATTTCAAAGTGTATGCTTAAAATGGAATGGTTTTTAATCCAAGTCTCACTGTCTGGCAGAAAAGTGTGTTCAGCAATTAGGGCATCAGCTAAAAGGGCTTTCAAGGATTTTGAGAAGAGGTAATCAAAAAAAATCTTATTGGCTTTCCCTTTGGAATTTTTAGAATTTCATCACTTGGGTACTTTGATCGATTACGATTCATATTTTCATTCCTTTCTTTTGTTTTTCGTCAAGATCCTGGATTTTTTTTGGGGGGCAGCCAGAGTTTTTTTTTTTTTTTTAATCTTCTGATCTCAACTCATCAACATTATATTTGAACTGCTTCTCTTTTCCCTACAAGAACAAAGATTTTCTGAATATGCTCATGAATGTGAACACTAAAGCCTTTTTTTTTGGCAAAATTGTTTCATTTAATTCTTCATCATAGGTAATGCCATATTTTAAAGCATTCTGAGTGGGAGTTTAGCCTGTTTCCCTTGCCCGCCATGTTCAAGATGTTATAGGTGAACAGGATGGATTTTTCAATCTTAAATTATTAAATGTCACGTAATTGGGTTGGATTCTTACTCATAACACAGTTTGACAAAAATTTTATTTAAAAGACATAACTGAACTCTTACAAATAGACAGTAACATCTTGATAAATATCTCAGATTCAGCGATTGCCTCCATTTTTTTTGTGACTCACCATTAATATCTGCAGTTATTAAGTAAAATTGATCCTCTTGATATTCCTTCTTCATATTTTGTCATTTTCTTCAAAGGTTGACAAAAAAATGACTAGATCTAGGCTAATAATCCACCCAGTCTACCGATTCACTTTCCAACGTCTCGCGCGTTTCAAAGTTTGCGCCTTTTTAAAAGTGTCATGCAGAGCCAATTAAGAAATAATTTCGAAATGCCAAGATTGTTGTTAAACAAAAAATAACAAACACTATCTGAATGTTTTTTCGCTGAAATTAATTTTTTTAATCAATATAAATTAAATCAGTTATTGAATTGGATTTTTTAAATTATACCTAAAGAGCCACAGTTTCGTATTTCAAGTATGGCCGCCTCCATATCATGAGGACAACAAATAAATCTTTGGAACCACTCGCCCTCAAACAGAGTACCCTGAGCTATGTATAGGTATATAGTGAATAGGAGAATAAACTACAAAATACGAATGTGGGTCAAGTCAGAGATACTTCACAACCATGCAGCCTGTGCTGTATAATTTACACACGATTGACAGAAAAATTTGACTTGATAACTGCATCAAAATATAAAGCGTTTGACCCAAGAATAGAACGGACAAGAGATATGATTTTTAGCTGTAAATAAATCTAAAAGACGTTTCTACGAAAATCATGAAATTTTTCCTAGATTATAAGTCTGTTTCATTTTCTCACAACTTGTTAAAAGTTTGACAAATAGAGAAAATTCGGTCGAAAAAAATTGTGTCGTGAAAAATGAGATAATTTAAAGCAAAATGTTGATATAGCTGCTCATTTTAAATGATGAAGAAGCATTAGTAATTCAATATGAGAGAAAAATGCTGTCAATATTGATGCAGTGTTCTTTAAATTACGATCATAATTTAATTACAATCTCCCTTCTAGACAGTACATAACAGAGTTTTATTATGATCCTGAAGAACCTAAGTTACAGATTCTGAGAGTAGAAAATAGTGATTTTAACCTCTTACTGTTCTCCTACTATACTGTTCTGATCTGATCCAATACTTTAAAAATCAAAACAAAAGCATGTCATTAGTTAAATCAGGGGTTTGTTCAACAATTGTATCTGCATGCAAAAGTTGTATTATGGGAGTAATGAGTGTTTTTTGGAGATCGTTTGTGACAATTATTTTTTACACTTTTAGTCTTCATGAAAATTCATGAACATTCATTACCTTGAACTATTAAGTTTTTTTCTTTAAACTTAAAATCAATAACATTCATATTTGTTCATCATTTGTTCATGAACTATGAATTATGAATGATTTCATGAATTTTATTCATGAACAACTTTTATGAACCTGTTAAGAATCCTTTTAGAAACAATCATGAACAATTATGAACAACTCATAAAGGTTCTTAAAATCATGAATATCATTTCGCAGGGGTAAAACGCGGAACGGAAAACGGAACAGAAAGCGGAACGGAACGGAAAACGGAAAATTTTTAAATCAAACAAATAACCTAAATTAGATGTAAATTAGATATAAAAACAATATTGTAAAATATGATATATTCATGAATCATGCACACACCCTCAGAACTGACATACTAACTATAGACTCAATTCCTGCGTATCCATCTGAACGTTTCGTACAATTGCTTCTCATTTTACAAAAAAAGCTCATTCATGAAAGAGATGTCATGAAATAGGCAGAAGGAAAAAAGACCACTTACCTATACATACATGATTCACTAAAGACAAAAATTACTAGATTTGGCATTCGGATTATGCAAGCAGCAGTGGGGAATCAAGAAATCACGAAGGGGGGGGGAACGGGGTGTGGGCCCACAGCCACACAATAACATCAATTTATTAAATCTTATATTCTGGACACAAAAGGAGAGGGACGACCTTTTGCATCTTCCCAGTCAATCCCATATCTTTCTAATGAGCATAAAACAAACTCAGTTTTTTACAGGGTCATCCATACTAGTAACCAACACCACCTACACACACCCATATACCACATACAAACTTTAACTTCATTGACTGTAAAGATGCTACATTAAATTTACCACAAAAAAGTTTTCCAACTTTATCTGTCCAGAATTTAAATAAATAGGAAGTGATTCCATTCTGTATTTATTTCAACAACCAGTGTTCCACAAGAGGTGTTCATCCGAGCTTGTCGGAAAGGTTTGAGCTTTTTGAAATCTTAAGATTTTTTTTACATTTTATTTTTCTTGCATCTAGATATGAAACCCCTCCCCCATTTAATAACCAACGCAACAAGATATAATGTTTTGACCCGTCAGTCAGTCAGCCCACCAGTCCTGTTGTATTTTTTTTTTTTTTGTTTTTTGTTTTTTTTTATCAGCGCAACTCCTCATAAACCGCTGCACACAATTTCGTCAAAGGTGGCAGATATTCAGGAAAAAATGTGTTTATGTGCATATTACCAGGAAATTTCGGTTCCTTAATTTTTTGGGGAATTTAAGCACCTCGACTTTTGAGGGAGCGTGGGGTATGTGAATTTGATCACTTTTTCTTTCATTGTTAGTGTAATTAATTATAATGTAGTAAGTTAGTGAAAAAATATTAATGTAAGAGTTGAAACTTGTACCGTAAATCTGGAAATTTTTGCTGTAGATAAATTTTTAGCAAATTTGCGTGTCCATTACATTCGCAAAAATATTTTTCTTAAAAATAAATCACCAATAAGAAAATGTAATCAAAGCAGTGGTCATTCGCAAAATTTTGAAACGTAAAAATTAATCAACAGCATTTTGACCCGAATTCGCAAAATAAAATCGGCGTAAAAATTTCCAGATTTACAGTATTCCTCTCTAGAATCTAACAATTGACTTCTTGTTTTCGTTTTTCAAATTCTTTTCAGGTAAGTTTATCCCCCCGTACATTTTCAAATTCGATTCTAAATTACGCCATGTCAGCGATTTTTGTGAATGAGACTGAACATGACTAAATCGACTTTTATTTAACAATGGGTAATTAAAAATTTCTAAGATATATCGTTTATGATAAAATTTGTGTATTTTTAGTGATTTAATCTAAATTTTTTTTTCCGTTTTCCGTTCCGTTCCGCTTTCCGTTCCGCGTTTTAGCAACATCCCCGTTCAACGAAGCATTTATCACGACCGGATTCACCTATCCACTTTCGACTCAAGAGAATATCAGACCAAATCATTTTGCAACTTGGTAACGTGTTTGTCATTTAACTTATGTCGTTCTCTATTTTGGTACACAAAACCTTGCTCTTAATTTATGTGATATCATTCCCCCTACGTGGGTTATTCAATTTGCAAAAGAAGGACATTTTGCTAATGTTTGCTCGATACAGTCAATAAGCTTTGCCAATCCAAGTTACCTGTACGCCTAAATTTTCCAAACCTCCAGGCGCGGATCCAGAATTTTTTTTCTTGGGGCGGGGGGTTTCCACCCCTGTCAAAAAAATGCAATCCTTGCTTTTTTGCTTTAGTATAAACATGTTGTAACCTTGGAAAATCCAGGGGGGTTCTAACCCCCCCCCCCTCCCGACCCCCCCCCCTCTTTATCCGCGCATCAACGTAAGTTAGTATATGGTCAGATTTGTAGCTTCCCATCTACGGGTACATGTCCAGTAAACAATTGAAGACCCCACAATCCATAAAAGGCACTCTAAATCACATATTAGATGAAACTCATCAACAACGCTCAAATCATACATATTCTAATGTACTTAAGGAATGCGCATGGTTTCAGCCCCATATTACTTGGACTTTGTCATGCGATACCCTTTTTCAAGCAAGACACGTTGCACCTCCAATTCTAAAAGAAAGCGATTTGTAATCGGAATTTAAGTGATTAATTGTAATACTATGCATGATTATGAACCCCCAACAAGTGGTCTCACTGCAAGAATTTCTTTCAGATTATAAACTGGGCTAGCTGCAGATCTGTAGCTATCCGAAAAAATATATATAAATTGATAGACCGGAGAGTTACAGTGCCACCTATTGAAAAAAATGTATATTTGCACTTTTTGTGCGCAATAAATATACATTTTTTTCAATGGGTGGCACTGTAGCTATCCGGTCTATCAATATATATTTTTCCGGATAGCTACAGATCTGCAGCTAAAACTGGGCAAATATGTTTCTTTAATGAATAGATGGCAATAAAATACAGATCCCTTTTCCTGTTTGATCGGTTTTAGAGAATCTTACAGAGATAGAGGCGCAAGAGATGCTTTTTGACGTACAAAATTTTATATCCTTATTAATTAACAGAACATGGAGGTAATGCTTCGAGGTATGCACTAGTTCCCCTACCCTAAATAGGCCGTAAAAGGCCAATGTAAAAAATGATCTAAACAAGAATGTTTCATATTTCGAATAATTCATCAGGTGTGTAATTTGGCGATTAACACACCGGGTGTAGGGCGCCCTACGACTTCTTAACTATGAATATTTTCATTTGAAAATGTTTTCCTTTATATAACACTACTGAAAGCAATTTAATTTAGTATTTTAATTAATATCATAAATTTTAGGGAAATGGAGAGGGGAAAAATTCTTAAAATAAATACTCTTTCTTGGTAAAATTGTTTTCTCGGAAAATTATCACCTTATCAACTTAAATTACCTACGGTTATTGTAAATATCAATTCATATAAAGAAAAAAATGTAAGATTTAGAATAATAGATTGAATTAAAGAAAAGTAACTTAGAGTTAGATATGTTTTTTAAAGATAATAACAATTTTAAGGTTAAGAAAATGTACAATTCTATACGCTGTATCGAAATAATTACGTTGAAATTTGATAACGCCATGTTGACGTCATGACGTCGTCAGTGTCATGTTCTTGAGAAAACATTGCATTTTAGTGAGTTGTGTTTGGAAAACATTCCGAAATATTTTTAAAAAATAAACTGATTTAGACCGGATATCCAAGACTTATATAGATTTAAATACCAGATTTTTGGAAAAGGCGGATTTTGGTACATATAACGCACCTTCTTTTTTCTCAGTGACGTCAATTCTGTAACTAAAGCAGACATCAGCTCAGTTTGGGTTGGTGTGTGCGATGCTGGATTCTGGACTTGGCAGGGGGAGCAATTAAGCCTAGCGATAAATCAATTCTGATCAATTTCGGTAACAGATTGCTGGACACACTCTGAACTGCTCGTCGTAATTTCTCTATCCCATGCCCGGAAATTTCCTCGCCGCGCGTCGAGAATGACAATCATGTATTGCACCAGTTCGGCTGCTCTCCCTAGTTGTCTTTGAATATAAATATGCAGAAATAAAAGAAAAGCATCTGTTCATCTATCGATAGTTATGATAGTTTCATTTAAAATTTTAGACTTAGCCTCAAGCTACATGAACCCAACATCGTTTGAAACTAAATAAGGAACATTTCACACTTATTTGGACTTTCAGTAAGGCTTTGCATTCTCGACCATACATAACTAGCATCTGAAATTTACACAGCTTTCCTTTACTGTTGCAATATACATGGGGTAGAAACTCGGGCAATTAAATGCCAATCAGGGTATTGACGGTAACCAATTACATTGTCTCATCCAGCACAGAGGTGGAGCTTAATTAAGTCGTCTCATCATTGTCAACAACAATATAAAGTTCCTGATGTTAGTAACGAGCAGCTTAGCCTCGGTATCTGCCCCGGTTTCAGCGTGGCAGACAGCGGCTAGATGTCTCCTCTCTCTCCCCCTCTCTGCATGCTTCTCTGCTGCCTGGCTCCCTTGGTCCGATTACACTTGTCGTGGTAGAATTTGCAGTGACTAGGGACTCCTTGGCTCGTATTGTTGGCATGATTTTATTTAATGAACTGTTCTCGGAGGCTTTATGTACTTCAACAATTATCATAAGTGTTGAGCGCTGGGAAATTAAGCTATCAATCAAGAGGAGGAAATCGCCATGTGCGCCCCTCTTTTATACTCGCGGCAATTGAGGGAAAGTGTCGAAAGACCTACTCCCTGAATAGTTTATTGGAAATCAATTAAATGCATTTGATTAGCGATCACTTTAAACGACCTTATTTGCTTTTTTTTGTAAGAAAAGAAGATATTCAACAGGCTTTTGATTTCTCGATCTTGTTTCCGTAGTACATGAATTTTTTTTTTGAATCACTAGTTTATATTTATTTTTTTCTTTTATTGTAGATAATAAATATCAATACTTACACATGTGTGTGAGTGTTTTAATTTTATCTTCCTTCGACCGGAAGTCTAATTAACAAAGTTTATTTTAATAACTATTTAAAAATAAACAGAAATGAACAATTGAACTCTGTCTTTTTAAGGAAGACTTTCTGTTACATGATAAACATCTTACACATGACATTGAGACATCCAACATATGGATTACACTCTTCCTCCTCCGTACAGTTACATTCAGAATCACACTTCACACCATAAAAATTTACTGGACACGGGGTTACGCTGTTTGGTCCAAAAAAGCCAACACACTCTGCCAAAAAATATAAAGTACACCTTCCCGTTTTTAACACATATTAGCACATACATATTGTATTTATTTCATCTTTGTCCTGAATATCAAAACTGATAACACTGAACAGTCACGTAGCAACCGGGGTGGGGCTGTCCCGCCTTTTATTTGCTAACAATACTTTTACTTTTTAAAATGTTCGCAGAAAGACTGGTTACCCCCCTCCCCCCAATTTGTACTAAAGTAAAGTAATATGAATAATATGAATGAAGAAAAATTGATATTGAAAGGAATTGGTGATGAAAAAAGTTTGCCTCTACCCCCCGTCCCCGCTTTTTTTGCTTGTCAACTTTTTTCAGGTAAGTAAAAACATTCTGTGGCTGCCCCCCCCCCCCACTTTCAAAATCGATGCTACATGTCTGCTGTATGTTGTTTAGAATCATTATATAGAATTGCATGCTACATAGTGAGTGGGTGCTGCTTAAAATATGTTTGCTGCTCAATGAAGCTGTGTTTTTTTAACAGTATAGAGACTTCTTCAATTGCAAAACTCCATCAAGTTCAATCAACACTCCAATAAGACCACAAAGTTCCTTACCTGTACAGGTTCTGTTTATTATTCTGCTCCCAGAACAACATTGTTCTGGGTTGCTGAATAAAAAATGTCAGGGATCAATTATTAGTTCAAAAATTGTTTTACGTAATCTAATAATTATACATTCAAATCACTTACTCAAATGTTGGACATACAGAACTGTTGTTCTGTTTTCCATATGAAACCCCGAGAAAAAGAATAAGACAAATAAACTTTATCTGTTCCATTTGTGCTACCTCCTTGGAAAAATAACCAGTTTCCTTGAATGTATCACTTAAATAACTTATAGTACACTAAATCAGATTTAAAAATTATATCCGTCCTTCCTTCCACTTTAGATAGATAACTTTAAGTTTACTTTATGATTGATGCAGAATATTCCCCCCAACGAGTTTTTTTTAATTAAAAAAAGCAAACATGGGCTTTTTCCATATTGAATCATAAATATATAATGAAACAAAGATTTAAAATTTGGAAGTGTTCATTATCGCAGGACGTGACGTTTTCTTTTCTCCGTATTTTTTTCCCAAAACCATAAGTCTTTTTTACACTTACCCAATCAAATTACTAGCACATGTATATGTTGATGGACCTCTTAATTATACTTGATAATTAAGTATACTTGATTATTTAAAGTATATTGATTATAACACAGCGAAAGTGCATGAAAGCAGTAATTATAATTTATTTTATTTCTCAAATTTTAACAGGCATTGTGTTAGTTTTGTACTGCAAGTTTCAACTAACCAATTATGTTTCCACATATATCGGTTTTCAAAAATCATCGTGTGTAACCCCATACATGGGGGCGCAGAATGGTGACATTTGAGGGTGCGGCATTTTTTTGATGTTGGAACATATACATGTATCAATAATAAAACAAAGGATTAGTTAAAACTTAGAAGTGTTCATTATCGCAGGACGTGACGTTTTCTTTTCTCCGTATTTTTTCCCAAAACCATAAGTCTTTTTTACACTTACCCAATCAAATTACTAGCACATGTATGTGTTGATGGACCTCTTATAGTATACTTGATTATTTAAAGTACAATTGTTATAACACAGCTCAAGTGCATGAAAGCAGTATTTAAGAAATAATATTTACATTCCGTGTATTTTTCCTTATGAAATTCATTAGAAATCCACGACATTTAAATTTTTATAACACACGCAAAACCCAATCTAATTAAAATTAGACCTTTCATCTCGCTCCTCGTTATTGATATGTCGCATAACGAGGAGCGAGATGAAAGGTCTAATTTTAATTAGATTGACGCAAAACCTTGTCACCGCGCGTTAGAATACACAATAGGAACTATATGCATTTGTATAATCTAGGAACACCAAAATGTACAATGAGTTGACTCAATTTAATAAGATAAACTATCATCCTGTTAAATAAACGTAAAATTACTACAAATGTGTGTTAAGAATTAAATTGTCACTTGTTTCCTTGCAATGTTTGTTTGCGTTATTTAACTTTGCAACGTCATCTGACGTCAAAAACGGCTCTTACGTCTATTAACCACGTCAGCTTTGAAGGGCGCTAAATTCATATTAAAGACTTACGAATTCCGTAATTATGAAGCAGGACAATTAGAAAATGTAATTAAAAGCATTGAATTCATATTTTTGGCTGTCTTCGGTCTTATAACACACCTGGCCGTGCCGACAAATTTATCATACTTCAATTTGTCATTATCATTATTCAATTTGTCGGCACGGCCAGGCGTGTTATAGGACCTAAGACATCCCAAAATTTGAATTCAATGCTTAAATATACATTTATGGACTCTTTTGGTGTGGAATATGGTTTGTTATTCACCAGAAAAATATTCATATTGACCGAGGCGAAGCTGTTTGTATATTGTTTTATAATATAGTCCGGATTTGAATAAATAAGACTTGACGGTTGTATGACGACACCATTTTCATTTACAAACTTCCATCATTGAAAATAAAAAATATGTCCAGGTTACAATTTGTAACCTCCATGTTTTCCTTTCCGAGTTTCGCTATGTTTAATTAAGACGTCCAAATAGGTTAAAATAATCCTGCAAAAGGTTTGTCCAACACATTTTCCTGTTCAGATAGCTTCCTGCAGCCGTTGCAACCATTGTTTAGAACGTTGTTTGAGGTGTTGATTGTGACGTCACAATGCCACTGTACGCGCACTGACCCTCCGGTGAATACGGCCTCAAATCCGGTGAATATGTAGTTTTATGAACTGTTTGTGCTTGTATAGATTATATAGGGAATATAAATAGACAATATAATAAACAACGTTATTTAGTGAACATGGCGTTATGAATAGCAATTGCTCTGCCGGTGTAAAGACGAATAATGACCCCCATCGAATAATGCCCGGGGGGTCATTTTTCAACGACAAAAAATGACCCCCACCCGTAGAAAAAAATCATTTTTTGTAGAAAAAAGGTCCTAGGGGGTCACTATTTTATATGTTAGTCCAATAAAATAATAATCCCCATTGAAAAATGACCCCCTTTAAAGTGATACAAAATATACGCTCTTTGATATCTTTTTTACAGCTAGACTAATTTTTATATTTTCTGTAACCAGAAATTTACAAAACGTCGTATGAAATAAATAAGAGATTTACGTAGTCTATCAATGCAAAAATTGTATTTGAAAAGGAATTCTTTAATTGTCAAGTAAATAAAATTTCATTTTAATATTCCTCCTTATAATGTTTGCTTAAAAAATGATATTCCACTTGTTTTTAGAAATCAAACCATGCAAAAATCAGGTTTAAATACTCTTTTAAGGGAAAAATTAAAAATCCGTCATTTCAACTTTTAGTTTGTTTAAGTTTGGCAAATCCTTTTTGACTATGAAAGAGGAAGAAATTTTTATCCCCCCCCCCAAAAAGAAGATTACGTAAAATCAAAACAAAAAAATAATAATAAATGAAACTAGAGCAAAGCTCGTTGCAAAGCAACGAGAAGGTCTTCCGTTCTGTTTTGACCGGAAATGACGTCAGCAAAAAAAGCAATTAGCTTAGTCGTCTCCAGTCACTTTATAATTTCATTTTTGCATTAAAACCTTAAGAAATAAGCTATTTTTGGCTACTTCCGGTTTGACCGGAAGTGATGTCGATGGACGGAAATTTAAGTTTTGTGCTTCCTGTGATATATGTTAGCCAAAAACTTGTCTAGAACAGCAAAAATATGCATTTTCTGACTACTTCCGGTTTGACCGGAAGTGACGTCGCCGGATGCATTTTGACGACTTCATTAGATTAAGCTTGACATTTTGAACAATATTGCTTCTTGGATGTATTACAAATTCTCAACACTTTTTCAGATATCTTGAAAACACTTTTGGCCCCTCTAGATCCCTTAATTTAGGGGTCAGCCCTTTTTTCGAGATATCATTTTAAAGATCTTGTAATTTTGCACAAATTTTGTTCTATATGTTTTAACAAAATATTTTTAGTTTAGAAGATAAAAAACAAAATATGTGTAAATTTTCGCTCTTTTAGGCGTTCTAATTTTTGACCCCTATGTAGCACCATTTTGAATAGAGAAATTGAAAAACAAAAAACACTATGCACAACTTCAATCCTTCTATTATCTAAAATCAGTAGAATTTTTGCTCCAGCTTTAGCCTTTTCTGAGCCTTTGTCTGGAAACTAGAGCCTATAAATTTTCGCTTAAAGGGAAATAACTCAAAACTGGAAGTGACTTTTTGAAATTTTAGATAGCATTCTGATAGAGTTTAGTAACGTCTATCAACTCTAAAAATTTGAGCAAAATCCATCGAGAAATGAGTGAAATATGAGGCCTCAAAGTTGGCGTCTAGGAAAAGGAAAAAAAAGAATAATAAGAACTAGAGCCGAGCTCGTTGCAAAGCAACGAATAGGTCTTCCGTTGGAGCTACGGATAGGAAGACGTAACCTTGAGTCTAGGTCAAGCCACATTATAAAGTTATACAAGTAAGCAACCTAAAGGCTTGTAAAGGAAGAAACTTACAATGTTTCACCATGAAAAACACTGTAAAGGAATGTATGTGACCTTGAACTTTCTAAATGACCTTGCGTCAAGCAATGTTTCGCCATGAAAAATGCTGTAAAGGAATGTATGTGAACTTGAACTTTCTAAATGACCTTGCGTCATGCAATGACAAACTCTGTTATAAAAATCTAATACCGTATAATCCCTATTAACCGCCCCGGGCGCTTAGAACATTTCGAAAAGGAGGCGGTTATTTTGGTATTCTCTTCATATTAATTTTTAATGTCATTCTTATACTTCAAAAATTTTAAAGAACAGCTAAAATAATGTCGAACTTTACTTTAAGTGAGGATAATCCACCCAATTTATGCGATATGATTCATTTTCCACTGAGAAATTGGATAATAGACAAGTTACATTTTCACTTTGTTCAAATTTTGGCAGACTTTTGATACGATTCTAGATGATTTTAATCATTGTAGAGGGGGCCCTTGTTTTCTAATAATTGAAAAAAGACCCATGGGGCGCTTATGGGGGCAGGGGTGGTTAATAGGGATCATACGGTATGTGTATTACCAATTGGAAAAGTACACACATGTTTTTATATATTCTTTTAGTCCATGAATCCAGCCAAAACATCTTATCTTTAGTGACCTTGAACTTGAGTCAAGATCATGTCCCACCCTGCATTATACATGTATCAACAATGTTTCACAGGTACAAATACTGTAGCGAATTTACAGTTTCTCTGTCAGTAACCTTGACTTGCCTGAATGAATGGATATGTTCAGCCTTATTTTTTCTGAGCATATACAGTATCAAATCGGAAGAATTTATTAGGTTCAACACTATGATTTAGCTAAGGATTTAACTAGAAATATGTCTATAAGACATGAATGCATCGCCAAGTGTATATTAGTACATAATGCAACATTAAAATCTGTATTAATGTATGACGTTTGTTGAGAATATCTTGAATAGTTTCTTAAAAATTGAAATCTTAAAAAATGGATATAGATTATAAAATCCCCTTCAAATAATGCATAAGCTTACATAAAAATATCTCACATGGTTTCTTTAATACTAAGAAAAATGCAAATTAAAGACAAGTGAGGTAAAGGTCACAGGAAAGTGCAAGGTTAAAGTGTATCAGCATACTAAAGTTTGATAAAAATGTCTTGAATTAATTCTTCAAATCTGAGCACCGCCCGTGTGGCACAGGGGTTAGATCATCTGTTCTAGACTAAGGTTTGGATATATCTCTCAAAAGTGTGCATATATTTTGGCCACTTTTGTACATGTAAAAATGAATACATGTATATAATTAAACTTGCATGTACAAGCATATTCCCGTAAAATTCTGCAATTGAAATATTCTTTTCGGGTTTTTCTCTTGAGTTGGAAACGTCATTTACTGTTACACTTACAATTATTTCCATTTATAACTATCGGAGTACAC